GAACTTCCGGTCAGAAGGAAAGATATCAGACCTTTTTGGCCTTAAAGGGGATGTCAGCTCTTTTTTTTTTTTTTTTTTTTTTTTTTAGACTTTCTCGTCTTAACACGGTTTTCTGATTAATATTGTGTTTGTGGAATAGGAATTAAGCAGCAGACTCAATCAATATTCAATATCAGATTGTTTCGACTATAGGGGCTACATAGAAATATGGTGAAGGCATATTTTTAGTTGGCTTTCCCTCTAAGTATCTGTGGCTGGTACAGTAAATATTCCCATCCCCGGAATTCTATGAAAAGGAATATCCTTCACCCGGAACAAAAACCTGTGCATTAACATTTTGACTACGATATTACATGTTACCGGAACTGACGTAATCGGAAATTCCACTACCCTTAACCCGGATTGAGACGTCATGCCGCGGGAGCTTAAATACACGCAACGCCCACCCGATGCTACGGAACGACGACACCGAGACACATTTTCACTTCGCGTTTTTCGATCATCAGATTCGAAACGACGACGTGTAAGTGAGTTTTTATTGGCGTGCGTTTTACTGTAATTGTGAATGATTTTAACTTTATTCACTTAACGTCCTTCACTTGCGTCGTGTAGATTATGGCATCGAAACGTAGAAGAACTGTAATGACTGGAGCGGAGCGAGTAAAATGCATCCGTTTGAGCAAGGCTGGACACAAAGTTAAAAGCATCCAGCAGACACTTGGAGTCGGAAAAACGCAAATCTACGAAACTTTAAAAAACAAGGCATCGATTCAACTCCTGATGACAAGCCACCATCCAGCGAGGAAGCAATGCCAATGGCAACAAAAATCCGTCAGTATGCACAAGAATTACCAGACATCAGTGATCAACGGGACAGTTACTTGCAACTAGCAACAAAACTATGTGACACGCAGGCAAACATTGTCATAAACCAAAGAATGCATCCAACCAAACAATCCAAAATAGACACATTTTTTTCCCAAGACAGAAAAAAATAAACATTAAAATACTGTACGTATTTTACTGTTGTGTTTTTTTTTGGATACACCTGTATTGCAGTTTTTGTTATATAAAGTTTTTGGACAGTATATTTTTGTATTTTATTGATTGTGTTGTTACACGTGCATTTTTGTCAACATACTTGCAGGTTCATAAAGGACATCTACCATGCTCATTTCCCAAATGAGGAATTTCTGTTATCAGGACAAATTGGACAGCGCAAACACGAGTCCGCACGAGAGAATATTTCCTGTATTGTCAGCCTTCACCAGTACCCAATATCTCAAAATAAGGCTGATATCAGCCCGATACCAATACCTAGTATTGAGACCGGGCCATCCCAAGTTGTGTCACATCCCATTTAAGAGAAGCAGAAAGACAGCTATTTCTCTGAAACACTGGATACAGTGGTAACGATAATTTACAATTTGAAATGATAATATGAACGTTTTTTTCTCTTTCGTCGTCTTCTGCGTTGTCGTCTTCTACAGTTTGTGTCTTCTTTTGACGTCTGTTTGCTGTTGCGTCATGCAACGGACGGGTCAAAAAACAGCGACAACTCTCATCGATGCTAAACACAGTTGTAACAATAATGACCAAGTAAATAGTTGTACTAACCCTCTGAATTTTGATGATGCACCTCCCCCCGCCTCTCCCTCCTAGTGTACACAAACTGGCTTGTTTTGACTTTTATAGTTTTTATAAGAGGGGTGCGCCAACTCAGTCAGGATGTTGAACAAGGGCGCATGACTTTAAATGTTTGGGAAAGCCTTCTCCCAAGCAGTCTGACCTTACTTAAATATTCAATACCGGCAGCTTGCATCAGTGTTTACAGTCAGGCTGTCTGCGTCCCCTCTGAGCTCTGCTAAGTGAACCGTGGCCGCTTCAATGGCCTCCCTGATTAGGAGTTAAATGTCTCCAAAGAATGGAGACAAGTGACGGCCGCAGACCAAGCGTAACACACGGTGTGTGCTGAAACAGTTGTCTGGTTGTCCCGCAAACACAAGATAGGAAGTCCGATACGAGGCCGGGGCTCGACTGTTTGTTCATAAAGAAGACGAAGGCGGGGGGTGAGAGCGCCGTGACGGGGGATAAAAAAAAAAATCTTTAAGCACCTGCAGTAAAACACAATACACGCTTATGAAAACAGCCAAGCCAGGAATTTTTCCAAAATGAGCCAAGTCACGTCTTCAACGCAGCCGAGACAGGAGCATGAAAGTGGCAGAGGAAATGGGGGTAGAGGGAGGCGTCACCTGGAGAGCGGGCCGCCGCTGCTGACAGGATCCCGACCGAGCGAGACGCCCGAAGTAACGACGGAACGCTGGGCCCTGCGCCTCACGGGGGTTGTCGGGGGTGGCTGCCTTTGCAGACAGCTGTTGGTGAGCACATCATTGGCCTTTCCGCAGCAGCAAGACACCGGCTGACAGATTAGGGTTGACGTTTCTTCAAAACGTCCTTGACATTTATTGGGAAAGGTTTGGCGTGTCATTATAGTCTTGTAAGGCACATTTTCACCAAGATTTTTTTTCAAAAATGACATGCAAACATTGATGCCTTCATTTCCACTATTCAACCACAGGGAACATTAATCCTATTCACCAAACGTGAAGGGAATTTCAGCTTTCGGGTGAAATTCGAGTGTGACGCTACTATGTGGTTCAACCTTTACAGGTGACCTTAATTTGACCTCTCAATTTGAATTAATGCACATGACCAATTGCTCAGTAGGGCTGAGCGATTACAGGAAAAAATAATCCCGATTATTTTGAGTGGTGTTGAAATTACAATTAATCAAACCATTTGTCATTGAAACCTTGCATTTATTCAACTCCTCAATACTACAGTCATAGCTTCATGCCCATTCATCCCTCCATGTTGAACACTATTCTTTTTGTCACGTAAATCATGGCCTAGTAAATATGTGGAATTCAAGCCTCCATTTTCATTTTGCAACATCCATTCCTTTGATGCCTTACATCTTTGCCCAAATTCAAATAATGTCAATAAGCATTTACCTTGTCTCTATATATTTATTGTTAGCTTATTTTTCCCCCACAAGCCTTAGGGTTTACTGGGAAAACCTGGGACCTTAGAGATTGTATTTCATGCCGTATGTATGCACCATGCCGTCATTCATTTTTGTTCGATTCTATCATTTTAAATATTGTTATAAGCCAAAATCAAAGTTTCGATTAATCGCCCAGCCGTACTGCTCAGTGTTTCACTACGTTGTGCACTATTTGCTGTTCTCCAGCAAGGAGCTGAACAGCAAAAGGTTTGAAAATTTCCAAGGATGCCCACTTTTATGACTTTTTATGACTCTAGAGTCTCTCTATCTCTGTTCCAGATTTTCTACTTAGTGTTTGGAGGATCTGTATGCTGATTTCATGATGTCAGAATGTGAACAGTATGATTAAAAACGACTGTTAAATACCAATTCTAAATGAACCAGGAAATGTTTTGTTCAATTCATGGATCAAACCCCTCTTGTGAATTTTGCCATTCAGCTGCTTGTGGGAGGACAGGAAGTTGTGCCTGAAGTACTGAATCTCAGAACAGTTGGATATGTGCATTCAACACTTTCAAGAAGGTCAAATGAAGTTGACCTGTAGAGGCCATTGTGAATTTTAAGGTTTTCCTGAAACATCACCCGAAAACACTGTGTCCCAAAGTTTTGGGGAGTAATGCCTATATGTTCCATTCACACTCACAATCACACCTATTGACAAATTAGAGTTTTGTCGGACTGCCCCGGGAAAATCCCAGAAAGCACAAAGTGAGTCTGCACAGAAGGCCGGCGCCGAGAGTTGAACTCCGAAGCTCAAAACAGTGATGCGGACATATACTCCATTTGTCTAGCGCGCTGCCTCATTTACAAGCCAACAAGCGCCACGCTTGCAGATACTTAGATGTCTCAAAATGCTACTTTGGAACACACTGGTCTGCTAAGATAAACAAAAAGGCCACTTGAGTTTTAGTGAAGAGGAGGTGAAGTCGCGGCCGTTCTGCGTGATGTCACAAGGACGAAGGCTCATTTACGATCAGGGAACCTGAATGAGGTGTTTACTGCACCTTCCAGATTGCTAATCTTTTGTTATGACTTGGCTGAAAAAACATTTGGCCGATAGGGTGGATCCGCTGATAACAAAATGTTTACGGCTGCTCGCTGTCTTTTTCTTTTCTTTGTTTTTTGGTCGCCTTGACAACACAAGGCTAATAACAACAATCATCCAAAAGCTTATCCCAATTTGTTGAAAGACATGTTTTAAATTTCACAATTAAAAAACGGTCTCACGTTTCACAATGTCTGTGGCGTCCAAATAGCCCAAGGATCAATAATTACAGTATACTTTCCACACCCTATGTCTGTCTCTTGCAAGGTAGCCAGCCCTTATCCAATTCCCCTACTGGACGATGGTAAATCCAAATTTTGTTGCCATGGCAACTAAGAGTGGAGCTGATGGCAGAGCCACACTTTGAGCTTGAATTTAGAAATCTATGAACTACAAATCACAGGCTAGCCACTTTGATCTCACACCATCTTACCCTTCTGGGTTGCTTCATCGCCACTCTCCTGCCTAGTTTCCCAGGTCAGCTGCCCAGCCACTCCTGTCGATAAAAAGTCCAAGTGGAAGCTCATAGGTGGGCTTTTTCTCTCTCCCCTAAACTATGTAACGACCTCCCGGTTAACATTAGACTCTTTTTTTTTTTTTTTTGTCATCATACTTAAAACACATTTTTATTCCATGGTGTTCAACACAGCATGATACTTGAGCCCTTATTTTAGTGTCGTGTGTGTTTGTATTGTTTTTAACTTTTACTCTGTTGTTATTTATCAAATTATGTTTTGTTCAATTGTCATATTTTCAATTTTGATTGATGTTAAACACTCCAGTTACAGTTTTTAAAGGGCCCTTTTTGACACTTTTAGTCCCACCTCAAATTGTCATGACCCAGAACACAAACTGACAAGAAACACAAGAAATTGTCATTATTTCCCAAAAAAGCCACAATATCATTTAATATAAAACACCCTTTAAGATGGACCGTCGTAAGGAAGTCCTTGTCCATGAGGAGTGCTGGCAAACAGCAGAACTCCCAGCCAGCGCATACAGAAAAGGATTTAAACATGCATTTTCTTTCATTACTACATTGTACAAAGTCATAGGGAGAATCCAGGTGGGTATTTTTTTTTTGTTTTTTGTTTTTTTGCAGACATGGGCACAAAAGTCTCTGCATCCTCTTGAAGCTCCCAGCGGTAAAAAGGGAGGGGGTTGGGGGGGGGATCAGTCTTGATAGGTGGGCATGTACACAGGTGTCCATTAGTTAGGGGGTCCCTCCTGCCTTTTTAGACCGTCAGCTGAAGGGAAAGCGGAAATGTGGTGTAAGGCAGGAAATGACTCAACACTTCGACTACTCATAAAAACTTCAAAACATAGCCCAATATCATGAACTTTTTTGGTAAGTAGTGTACTGTACATTCTTGGTCCAGACTGTGTCCATTCAGAAGGAGTCATTGGTTTCTACGTAGCAGAATCCTTCCCACACACACATGCATACACACATTCACACAACAGATGCCACGGAGGTGACGGACGTCACCTTATTGTCATCCGCCCAAGGCTGCAGGTTCTGCAGGGCATACAGGGAGGAGTTGTGCAGGCAGAGCGGGTCGGGCTGCAGGGGCTGGCTCAGGGTCTTCTGGAAGGCTTCCTGCTGGAGCTGGAGCATGAGCCGGTTGGCCTGCTGCCTCTCGGCCTCCCGCTCCTCTGCCGTCTGTCTCCTGATCGGGTAGAAGAGATCAGAAAGGGTTTTAGCATTGCTGTGGGTAGACAGACAAGGAACCGGATTTGCTAGTACAGAACAAGATGACACCAAAGCCCTGGATAATATTCAAGTGATATTGAAGTGTTTTAGAAACCGAGTTTGTGATATGTTTAGAATTAGGCAATTCTAAACATTTTTAGATGGGAACTTAAGGCAAAAAAATTTATATACAGTAATGTCCTCTATGCAAATCTAACGCAAAGCGCAGTCTATCTTACCATGCGCTTGGGTGGAGTTTTCTTTCTTATGGGGTATTTTTGTAGACACACACACACACACACACACACACACACACGCACGCTGTGCGAGTGAACACTTGCTTCCTTCCCAGCCAATTGAAGTGGCCCCTCTTCTTTCCTTTTAAATGCAGCACTGCAGGATAGGTTCGCGGCGTACATGGTGAAAGCAGAAACGGACTCGCTGGAGTTCATCCATCCATCCACCCATCCATTTTCTGATCCCACAACGGTCGTGCTGGAGCCAATCCCAGCTGTCTTCGGGCAGTAGGTGGGGTACAACCTGAAATAGTTGCCAGCCAATAGCATGTCGCTGGAGTCCATGAGTCCATATTGACGGGCTATGTTTATAAGCAGCGAGATGATGCAAAATGGACTTCTGTGAACTGGGCACTTGGGAGATGGTCTTCCACACTTGATCGTGCGACAGTGACATCGAAGGACACCTCTCTTGTTTGTTAGCTTAGGGCAGGGGTCGGCAAGCCAAAATGTTGAAAGAGCCATATTGGACCAAAAAAAACCCAAAAAACAAATATGTCTGGAGTCGCAAAAAATTAAAAGCCTTATATATAAGCCTTACATTGAAGGCAACACATGCTGTATGAATCTATATTTGCCTACTATCAAAATGACTAAATAGGCTACAAATACACAATGAGCCTTCACGGTTAATTTTTTTTTTTCCCTGCAATGCATCCTGTAGAGAAGGGGTGCCCAACCTTTTTTGACCGAAGATCAACTTTTCGATCAACCAACCTCCCGCGATCGACCCGTTACCGCACGCGCGCATACACACGCATTTACACACGCATGCCATAATAAGCAACAGCCATAAAGGCCCCTAAGATGAGGCATGGGACGCACTTTTGCAGTGTGTTAACTATCGTAGTTCACGTCTCACGCTAAAAATGCTTCTCTCAGCAACCCACATTCCCATTCTATGCCAGTACCCTCTGTGAATTGTACATGAAATGCGATTTTGTTTTCACGACAGGTACCTGCCTGGCATCCTGTCCTGCTTATAGAAACGTGTGTCGCAGGCTATGACGCAAATCCTCAACGACAGAAATGTTGACATTTAATATTTATTCTAAACATTTTTAAAGCATTGGAAAACATTGAGAATGTTTGTGTCATTTTTGTCCTCCTAAAGAAACCATATTAAAACAAACAATTCCCCCATCTTTTTCCATTTTCAAAAATTTTGGAAAAAGCTCCAGGGAGCCGAAGGGCGGCGCTAAAGAGCCTCATGTGGCTCTGGAGCCGCGGGTTGCTGACCCCCGGCTTAGGGGTAAGCTTTTTAATACTTTTTAAAAAAAAACTTCCGCTGACTAAACTGAGCTCTTCCCCGAAATACAAAGATTTTAGAATAGATGGATAACTTCAACATACTTCATTGACACCAATTAGTACTTTCCTATTAGTCAAGGCTTTGGCGACATTTTGTGGCATCTTACGGAAAAACTACAAATAAGTGAAGGTTTTTTGTTTGTTTGTTTGTTTTTGCGAATAGCTGATGATGGGATCCACCAGGCTAAAAAAATGAATCTGAATTTGTAAACAGGCAATGAATGACAAAATGGATCCTGCACTATCACTCAGAGGTCCCGCAAATTATAGTGCATCACATCGAGATCTGCCATTTTATTCACTGCTGCCTTTCTTACAGAATTAGAGTATTAGTACACAGTATAAGTTCCTTAGTCCTTTCAGCAGGAAGTGGGAGCAAGTCAGCCATAATTCTTCAGTTTTCACCTGCAACTTTCATTTAAGTCCCAGATTCCCATGGCAAAAACCAAGCCAGTCAAGTCAAGTCCCAACTACTTTTCAAGCAAGTCATGTCAAGTAATTCCTTGGTTTAAGCAAGTCACATGCCAATCGTACAATCTTGCTGAGTAACAGCATGTCAGCATTGATTGGACAGTGACAAGAATTTTTAACATGCATGACAGTGCGTGCGATGTGGGCATCAAGTGTTCAACTTCAGATCAGTTTGGGCTCTGATACTAGTGAGGTACTTCTCTGAAGCTGGATGTTGTGTGCTCTACTCTGTGTTACTTCCTTTCACACTGAACAGAAACAAAGGAAAAATCTGGGAAGAATTGGCATTAATGGGCCTTGCGGCTGTGGTAGTCGCCTCTTTCACACAGAGATCCGACAGGCTATTGGCATCTGTAACAGTAGAGCTGACATTTATCCTCCTGTGCCTTAAACACAGAATCCAGCAGAGCAGGATATTGCAGTAACTTTCACGCATCAACATGGGATCCCAGCAATGCAAAATACGCTTACACACAGGTGGCATCCCAACTCTGTTATGACTGTGATACCGGGACGAAAGAGGAAAATGTCTATGTTGGCTCCACCCAACTACCTCATTCCTTATCAGTACCTTTCACGCAGAACAGCGACACAAAAAGATGCTTTCAAAGTCAGTGTAAAAGAGGCTTTGTCTCACACAGCTAACAGCAGACACATCTGGCATTTACATGTTTTCCTTTCATGTAGAACTCAGCAAAATTGAATATTTTGGTGGTAAAAGACCTGAGTAATCTTGCACATATCACAATAACAAGGCGAAAAAGTATTTTCACAGGCAGTGTGAAAGAATGCTCTGTGGCAGTAGAAGTTGTGTTTCTGTGTTTTTGGGGGGTTTTTCCAAGATGGCGCCCGAGTAGGCAGCAGTTGGCAAGTGCTCTTCAAGAGTCTTGTTTTTTTTTCTTTTTTTTTTTGGTTGTTTTTGTATTTTGTTTTGTCACATTGTGTTTGTTGTTACATCGTGTGGACCTGCTGTGTATTGTTTTCAGCATTTTTTTTCCCATGAAGTTCGTCAAAAGAGAAGAATCTGTGCTTGGTGGTTGGTCCTTCTCGGCAGCACGTGTGTACCAGCACTGATTTTGATTGGGAGGAATGTCGGCGCCATTTGACTGTCGTTGCTGGACAGCCCCGGAGCGATTGTTTTTTGCGCCTGCAGTGGGCAGCATTTTCACAGCCCAGCTTTGTGCAGCGAAAAAGGTCGTTGCTGTTGGACAGTCTGCGGCTGGATGGATGCATGGCTTGTGGAGTCGACGATGAGAAGAGAGGAGGGTCAGCGCAGAGCGCCAACGCGTATGTGGAACTGGGAGTCGCGGCTTGGAATTGAAGCGGATTTACATGGGATAGGAGATGTGAGCGCGTCAATGGACGCTACAGCTTATTGTTTGCTTTCAAACTTAGCTTGTAGCGGACGTGTGCACATTTTCAACATGACATCGTTGATCCACTGGTGAAAGGACACTGTGATTCGCTACTCTTTCATCTATAACTGCTTCAAACAACAACATGTACGCAGAAAAGTGGTTGAGATTGCACGACTATTGTGTCCTATGTGTTGTGTTGTATTATTTTGGCATTTAATGTTAACTGTTCTGTTGATGGCTGTGCGGGCACCCGCAGGGGCTCCTCTCTCTCTCCTATGGTTGAGAGGAAAGTAATTTCATTTGTGCTGTATGTTGCACATGTAGCACATTTGACAATTAAGTTGACTTGACTTGACTTGACTAATGGTTTCGTCCAGTGAGAGTCGAATCAAACAACAAATGGTGGGGATGTGAGACAAACGCAAAATAACTGGTTGCCATATCGACATTACAAGTATTGTTTGAGGGTTAACGCGCCACGGAGAAAGCTGCACATTAGCATTTTTATTTCCTCGCCACCTGTGTCGGGGGATTGAGAGGCCGAGATGACAGCTGATCTGGCTGAGTGGCAAATGTTAGCGAGGAGGGAACGTGACTGGCGGGCAGGGAGGTGGGCGGCTCAGCGTTACACATGTTAACATGGAGATGCGCGTGTTGTACGGCATGTCGTGAGGTGGTTGGATTACCCGCGACTCTGATTTTGCAGAAGAAAAATTAAACTACAGAACTTGTCTGTTGCGAACCAAACACAGGAGCACAGCTTGTCATAAACCATCTCTCAGATGGATTCAAGGAGGCATTTTGCATGTTGTACGTGCATATATTAAGATGCACCTTATCCCATGGGCGGACTGACTTTAGGCAAAAGCAGGTAATTTTACCTGAGGGTTTGTAATTTCCCTAAAAAAAGGATAAACACACACACACACACACACACACACACACACACACACACACACACACACACAACAGATTACATGTAAAATTTACGGTAACTGAAACTCAAGTTAAAAGGTTCTTAAGGAAACCTATGAAGTGGAATCATACAAATTATTACATTAAAATATACAACTTATTAAAGTAAAACCAAAATTTTTCTATTTTAAAGGCATTAAGTTGAATGGACAACCTAGGTCAATACTTACAACTTAAGTTGGACATAAAACCCATCCAATCCATTTCTAAGTTATATGCATCCATATACATTAACTGATAAACCATATATTTCATATTTTATATCCACTATGGATACACATAGAGATCACACTATTTCTATTTTTTTAATAAGCTCAACCTCTCATAGCTGACTGTTTTTCTTTACTTTGCAAAATAGTCAAGAGTAACTCAACAGCGCCTCTGCTGACGACAACTGAGTAGTGCAGCCCATTTAAGTCTATAGTATGTTTTGATCAATATCCATATCAAAAATCAATAACCAGGCTGGAGTGAAATGCTGTGCTAATAGCAACAAGAAGAAAATGATTAGGGCAGATATGGCCCTCACGCAGGCGCGCGCAGCAAGCTGCGGCCATTAGCCACGCGTTATTGCTAACAGCATTACCATAATATGGTTGGCTGCCTGCTGATTCGATCACCATCTTGTTAGTTAGCATACTTGTCACGTGAGCGCATCGCTCATGTTGAGGCTAGCAGGTGCACACTGCTACGGCAGCGGCAGCATCAATCTCGGTCAAACGAGGAAGTGGGTTAAGGCCTGGGCGCTTATTCGTCTTGACACACCATTTTGTCTGTGCTGAATTTAGTTTTAGGCATTGAAATTGGTGTTTGTTGTACATGGGTTGCAGAGGTGATTGCTCTAAGACTGCAAGGGAAGCTCAGCTTCCCCTAAAATGTCAAAAAATAAGTGACCAAATATATGCGTGTACATACAATTGTGTGTACATGTCATTGACTAAATATGCGCTATAACGCGCTCAACATTTGTTCCGAATCAGCTTCTTATTACTGATTACAACGCGACTCTCTTCTCATTCATTCCCGCAGCATCACTGTGCTTTAAACTGAGTGGACGGTGAGCATCCACCGCGCGGACGCTGGGCGTCTAGAGAGTTCAGTGTAGGTTGTCCCAATACATTGAAACGAGACAAGTCATTGGATAAATGCTGGTTTTGTCCCGCCCATCGGACGCTCAGCGTCTCTGGGAATCTATGGACAGTGGGCGTTTATCGGCTGACCCAGACGCTCGGCTTTTCTGCATGATGATTGGATGATCTGTCTGAGGCTGAATCTATTTTTGATTGACAGAAAAATGAGCCAATCACCGATCTTTTGGTGTCGGCATCCGTGGGAGCATTTTTCAATTCTCCTTCTGTTCTGAGTTGAACTGGAGACTTCTTCTAATCATCTAAGTGGCACTCTCTTTGTTGAAAACAACAAGCGACAAATTAATCTTTTATTTCTGGCGGGTTTTATTGTAGTTGCTTGTGTTCGCAGACTGACCTACATCACCAGTTTCCGTCCTAACCGAGCAGCGGGACACTAGTTAAGTCCCTGGAAAAGACGCCTTGTTGGTATGACAGGGTCACAGATCATTTTCTTGAAAAGGAACGGAGAGTAGAATTCACGTATAGATTAACGGACACATTTTATGATGTAGGCCGAAATTGAGCGTCCCCTCCTTGACAGACCAGCATCCGCCACTGATGAGTTGAAACGAGAGTTCGGGTTTGTGGTGGGTGAGAATGATGACGATTACTTCCACAAATGAATTTTGCCAAGCACATGCTAATATCAATACAAAATATTGAATATTAGACCATATATTATACAGTACAGTGGTGTCTTGATTGCATATGAGGATTTTTCATTATAGTTTATACTTCTTTTTAGTTTTGTTTTTCAAATTCAATTAGTTTTGATTACTTCTTAGAGTGTTTTTTATTCAGGATGGGCGAGTATCGATTCCACGTATCAGTATCGGGCTAATTCCAGCTTTATTTTAAGGTATCGGGTACTCGTGGAGTACTTACTACCCCTGATGCTTAGGGGCAAAAAAAAAAAATTCTCCTCAGCAGTAGTTGTCACTGTACTGCGGCAGTGAGCCACATCGGCCAATCATCATCTGCGTAAGAAAGAATGATCTTAGTTCACAATTTGTTGTTATTGTGTTAAGTGAAATGTATTAAAAGTATGAGAGGTATTGTTACACGGTACACATGAATACTCTCAGACTGAATACTTGTACTGGTATCGGTCTGGGGAAAAAAGTGCAATAGAACATCACCAGTTTTTACATTAGTTGTATTTTTTTCCGAAAATGCTGAGTTTTAATGTAGTTTATTGCTTTCAGTGAGTTTTTTTTTTTTAATCACGGTGTATTCCTGGTGTGTGTGAGATGAAAAAACGGTCACCATAAGTATTCTACACTTAAAAACTCAACAAAAGGTATCATTAAAAAAAAAAAAAGTAGACCACCAAATATTCCGTACAGCCGTTAAATACAGCTGTCATAAAACTGGCCGAGCAAACAAACAGTGGAGCCGCCCATACTTGCGGTTCTGTTCACAGATTTTTTTTTTCAATGTTTTGAAAATATTTTCAATACCTATGAAGCACTTATTGTAGAAGTGAGTCTGTAAACACCTTGGTTATTTGCTGACAAACAGCCAAATCAAAAATACTCATTTTTGAGTGAACATCATGTTGCCCAGTGGCTTCAGATATCCTTTTTAAAGGCACGGTCACTTTAAGGATGCGGGGTAATTGGATTTATCACATGTTCACCTCCAAACGATTGCAAACAGTGGCAAGAATGAAGTGCAGAGAATGCACGTGTCTCCGGTGAGAGGCTTTGAGTATTGCTGTGGACAGCAGCTTTCTAAAAGGCCTTTTAGGAGGCTCCGGTAATTGTGCTTGGTCAAGCGAACTGGCCTCTGCCGGCCGCCCAGCTAAGCAAAATAAAAAGGCATGCGCCGTGTTGCGAGGCGCCTCCAACGTTTAAACCGCAACGGCCATTTTGTGCAACATCAGAAGCTACTTTGGATCTCAGGGCAAAACAAAGAGCGTCCATTTAGGGCTTGACAAAAGTGCACATGCTGTTTTGATGGATCAGTTTAGGGCTGCCTTTCTTGAGTTCTAATTATATAGAGTTCTGAACAAACGTATCAGACATGAAGAAACCAGCTAGCCTCATGAAATGCTTTAAATTCGGATTATTTGGATTTCCAGTGAGCTCTGGCCATTATCAAGTGCTTTAATTAAGATCTTTTCATTTTCAATGAGCTCTCAACGTGTTACAATTTTTAACAGGAATGGGTGATTTCAATACCAAGTGAATTCTACTTAGCAATATGACTTTGAAAAAATAAGAAGAGGCTATCCTGCATTATGCAATGCTTCAATGCGGTTTCTTTCCGTTTTCAGTCAGTTCTGAATGTTTGACCATTTTGAATAGGAATGACAAATTTCAAACTGCATTCTCCTTCAGCCTTTGCACTTGTGACAAACCGCGTAAAAAATAAAAGGGCATCATGACGTGCTTTATTGCAGATTCTTTCAATTTTCGGTCTCTTAATGTTTTACCATTTTGAACAGGATGAGAAAATTTGAAACTGCACAAGCCTTCAACCATTTGCCCTGTTGTTTAGCAAAACACAGTATAACATGTTTAATCTCACGCACCATGGTTTAGGAATGCCTGCGTCTTGTAGGAGGTCAACAGTGTAGTATCGCGACTCTTACCGCCATTTCGTTCGCCTGTTCTGAAACCACGTCTTAACTTGGGCGTCTGTCATCTTGAGGGCCTTGGCCAGCGTGGCACGCTCGGCCGACGCCAGGTACTTCTGCCGGTGGAAGCGTTTCTCCAACTCGCAGATCTGCACTCGGCTGAAGGACGTGCGGGGCTTTTTCCTCTTGGGCGGCGTGCGGTTCTGGTACGGGTGGCCGATGCGGCGGGTCACGGAGAAGGGTGACAGGGCGGCTGGAAAAGGGAGAAACACAGGCGCAGGCTGTTTTTTGGAGTGGTCAAACACAAGCAAAAACTGACAAATCATTGCAGTGATTGGTAGAGGTGGGGGTACTTGAGTCACATGACTTGACTTGAGTGAGACACTTTTAGGACTTTGGCTTTGCTAAAACTTATTAAAACCTCAACTTTTTTCCGCCTCTGGTGATTTATGTCCCGGATCAGTTATTACAATCAAAACCCAGGAAGAAAAGATTTCCCTGGAGATTTGGTTTGTTTTTCAGCCCTTAACTGGATGAAGTGATTGCCAATTTTGTGGTACATTTCGGGCCTCTGAGCGAAAGGCCTGGAAGCTGCCAGTTGAGGACGATTGTAATTATGATTGTCTGTGAATCAATAAAATCACATTTCTCAGAAGGAAAAATTATAGAATGGAGTAGGAAAAAAAACAAGAAAACAACAACCACAAAATGTACCATTCAGAAAAACACAACTTCTCAGAAATTATCCATCCATCCATTTTCAGATCCGCTTTAGCCTCACGAGGATCGCGGGCATGCTGGAGCCTGCCCCAGCTGTCTTCGGGGAGTAGACAGGGTACACCCTGAATTGGTTGCCAGCCAATCGCAGGGCACACATAGACGAACACCCATTTGCGCTCACACTCACACAAAGGGACAATTTAGAGTATTCAATCAGTCTGCCGTGCGTGTTTTTGGAATGTGGGAGGAAACCGAATTACCCGGAGAAAAGCCACGCAGGCACTGGGAAAACATGCAAACTCCACACATGAAGACCGGAGGTGGATTCAAACCCTGCACCTCCGCCATGCTGCCCTCATTAAATTAATCATTCAAAAAATAAAATAATGATTAAATGTTAATTTTCTCCTTCGTTGATCATGAAAGTGTCATCAACCAGCCCATCCCTAATTGTTGTCATGGCATGTCAGCAATGTTTGTGGCATGATCTCACATTGGCTTCATCAAGGATGCCCAAATGATGGTGCGCAAGCTTTAAAGTACATTGGTATGTTATATCTGGTATATCAAGTACACACATATAGTGTCCTATTTTTTAGGTTGCATATGGGGGGGAGGGGTGCGCCATTTAACTTGATTGTTTTATCAACTTTGCCTGATTAAATAATGCTTTTTAAATTGGCTTTGTTTTCCAGGTTGTGTACTGAAGAGCTCTGGTGCACCATCTCTCTCATGTTAATTTAGTATAGCTTGTATGTGCCTTGTAAGGTACCTTGAATGCATTTTTTTTTTCTTTATTTTATCCCAATGATGCCTGAAATTGACTTTTTTCTGCCATGTTTTAGGTTAAGGAGAAGGGCTACACCATCTAGTTTGTGGTTCTAATTTTTTTAGATATTTTGTCACTTGTTTTGTTTGGTGTATGTGATGAATCAAAATTTTAAATAGCCGTTGTTTTTCCTATTTTTGTAACTATTATGTATTGGGGAAGGAGGTGTGCCATATATATGGTGGTTGCTTTTGTTCTCAATTTTTGTCTTATCTTGAGCATGTTTGCATTGATGCTTAAAGTCAAAATTGTGAAATGTATAGCTTGTAAATATTTTATTTTATCACACTGTTGCTGTTAAATGTTTTTTTCTTCAACATATTTTAGAGTTTTGCAATATTTTGGGCTTTATTTTGACGTATTTGGCGCAAATGTTCAGAAGTGTGTTTTGATCATGTACGATTAAACTTTGATCCCTAAAGTCAGCATAGGTATGCATACAACTTGTAAATTTTTATTTTTAATTTTTAACACACTGATGCCGTTAAATGGGTTCTGTACTATTTTTCAACTATTTCTTGAGACCATCTGTGAGAGGGAGCGAGGAGGGGGTGCACCATCTTGGAAGGTATTTGTATTTTTGAGTCATATTTTGATCAGTGCATGAAACATAATGTCTTTTAAATGGACTGTTTTGTCTTTTTTTTTTTCAAGGTTATGTATAGGAAAAAGTGGTACGCCATTTGTTGCTGAGGGGGTGACTCGCCTGGGCAAGCCCCGCCTATTTGAAATATTCTGTCATTTTTAAGGTGTGCATGGATGAGGAGGGTTATGCCAATTTGTTGTGCATTCGGGTGAGGCGGTGACTCACCTGGGCAAGCCCCCTTTGGGAAAGAATAGTCTGCGAGGAGGCCATTGCCATCTCGCAGGTGCGCGAGCTCGGGGTAATAGCATTTAGCTAAGGTCTCCACCGTGCTCCAGACGGGGACCCTGCCGATGTCCCCCTTGGGGAGAGGGCAGAGGGGCCCGGCCGCCGCCGCCCCGTTCCCCGGCCCCCCCGCGGCCTCTCGTGCTCGGCTCTCCTCTGCCTGCTCCCCTAAAGGAAAGGGAGACACAATGAGGTCCCGCATCTGGAGCAGAGCAGCCAGCCGGGCGCCATCGGTGGCCCAGGGTGGCGAATTACATGAGGGAGAAGCTTGAATGATGAACTCCGGCTATTTGAATGACAATTATGCTTTCAGTTGAGTAACACAAGTGACAGATAGCATTGCTGAGGATGGTAAATCAAAGCAGTCAATCGGCATCAACATCATAGGGTCAGGGGGGTTGGTCACAGGTAAATCAGCATTGACGATTTACCGTATTGGCCCGAATATAAGACGGCCCTGATTATAAGACGACCCCCTCTTTTTCAAGACTCAAGTTTGAAAAAAGACTTTTTGAACACCAAATTATTTTTTATACAGAAAATAACAGTACATCTGAAACAAATGATTGGAACAATATACCGGTATTTGAGAGAAAAAGCATGTCATTTTGCCTCATTCAAATCTTAATATCTGAACATTTAAATATGTAAACTAAAGTGCAATCACATTCGTAAATGAATGGCTTCTGGTTTTTGAAATGTAAATTACATCATAACTTCTCCTCAGCTGCCGGTTAACCTGGCCGATCTTCGACCCACTTTTCTCCAGATTGTCGCTACGTTTCTCCATTTTCTGTTATCGCTTCTATTATTTTCTTCTCTTTTCATTGTTACCGCTATTTTTTATTTTTCTTCTTCGTGCTACCGCTATTTTTATTTTTACTCTTCGTGACAGGGGTTCACTTTGGCCTGGGGAGTCAAGTTCAGCATTCGCTTCAATGGTATCTGGCGCCATCTAGCGTCGTAAATGGGTATAATGTCTAGACCCCGAATATAAGACAACCCCCACTTTTTCAATCTTATTTCAATGCAAAAAACACCGTCTTATATTCGGGCCAATACGGTAATGGAAAGAAGTGATGTGAAAAATGACATATACACATCATAAAAGCAGATGAGTGAAATAATTCTATACAACTCGATTGCAAGTGGAGGTGAGAAACTAACATGTTATTATGCATCCAAGTACATCAATGTCATTTTTTTTTTAAACTTACCAAATCAATCGACAATACCAAGGAGCTCACAAAAATGTGTTTCATTTTTCCCGAACAAATATGGCTTATGCAACTAGACGATGAGGCAAGCAAAATTTATAAGTGGGTCCACAATGAAAATGTGTCTGGAGTGTCATCCATCTATCCATTTTCTAATGGGCTTATTCTCACAAGGGTGGCGCAAACATGTTGGAGCCTATCTCAGCTGTATTCTGGCAACTGGTTGCCAGCCGATCGCGGGGCACAACAATCAGCCGCGCCTCCACTCACACCGAGGGACAACTTGGAGTGTTCCATTAACCGGAATATCCAGAGAAATCCCATGCAGGCACAGGGAGAACATGAAAACTCCAAACAGGAAGGCTAGAATCGAACCTTGCACCTCTGCACTGTGAAGCGGCCGTGCTAACCAGTCAACCGCCGTGCCACCCTGGATTGTCATTAAAAACAGTGAAAAGTTATTTTAAAAATACTTAATAAATAATATATTTTTAAGACTGTTAGAATCAAGTGAAAATTGTCAATAAGGTTTCTACAGCTAGTACTCCTGTTTCAAATTCTGGAAAAAGTGGTGCACATGCAGTTGAAATCTTTCTTGGATGAACATAACATCTTGGAGGTCTTCCAGTCAGGTTTCAAGACGATGCAGAGCACAGAGTCAGCCCTGTTACGCGTTTCTAATGCTATCCTCCTGGCAAATGACACTGGAGACTACATGTGTCTGGTATTATTGGATTTAACTGCAGCATTTGACATACAGTAAATATTCCCATCCCCGGAATTCTATGAAAAGGAATATCCTTCACCCGGAACAAAAGCCTGTGCATTAACATTTTGACTACGATATTACATGTTACCGGAACTTACGTAAGCGGAAATTCCACTACCCGT